GAACGACCGGTTTTTTCGATTGAGTCGGTTTGTGGTGTTTCCGGGTCCCACTTCCCGGTCCCCCCAGGCATTGCCCGGTCGACGACCGCTGCATCGGCAAGAACTGAGGCACCTACGTTGGAAGTATGGACGGAAGGAGCCGACGCACTGGTAGGGTCGCCCGTCGGGCCGCCCCCGGTGACCGGGACTCAACACACAAGTCCATCAAGACCCTTTTCGTTGTGGAGGATTTGTTTAAATGTTGATTAAATTGCTAAGTTGGAGGCCATCACTATAGTAGGTTGCAGGCCATCGCTAGTAGGTTGGCCATTGCCAATATTAACTAGGTGTTGGATTTGTGACTTGTGTGAATTTGGTTTCCCACTCACAACGAACAGGTGGATCAGGGGAAAGTTTCATGACCCTTTCTTGTTCTCCCGTGAAAAATGGGCTCAGAAGTCAGTTATTTTAAAAGGGATGAGTCACCAACAAAGTCAGCTGTTGCAGGTGGCGGAGGGAGGTATCTATCCTACTTACTGTTAGTTATTTGTATATGGAATTTCTATTTGAAGGTAGTAGTACTTTGTAAGGAAACCCACTACGCGGAACACCGAGTGTTAAAAAGGTTACAGGCACAACTGAGGAAGCTAAGCTTCCATGATTTTGGTCATGGATGGCTTCATTCCCTATCCTATAATAATCTATTATATAATATATTTGTGTTGGTTTCAGCGGCAGGTGGTGCAAAGTCACTCAGCAGCTTAACCACATCATCTCCTACTGTAACAAACATGTACAACAGTGACGATAGCCACAACCACAAACACGATGATACTGTAGCACCAGCAGCAAAAACCACAACCACAACAACACCACCAACAACAGCAACAACAGCAGCAACAGCAACAGCAACAACAGCAACAGCAGCAACAACAGCAACAACAGCAACAGCAACAACAACAGCAACAACAACAGCAATGGCAACAACAACAACAACAACAACAGCGCCGGCACCAGCAACAACAGCAGCAGCAACAACAACAACAGCGCCGGCACCAGCAACAACAGCAGCAACAACAGCAACAACAACAGCGCCGACACCAGCAACAATAGCAACAACAGCAGCAGCAACAACAACAACAGCAGCAGCAACAGCAACAGCGCCGGCACCAGCAACAACAGCAGCAACAACAACAGCAACAACAACAACAGCAACAACAGCGCCGGCACCAGCAATTGCTAGCAGCAGCACTGGCTGTTTGCAAGTGTGCAACATTTTACATGGTTGTGACCGTGACCGGTTGAGGGTTGAGGGAGCAAGCAAAAATGTCTGCAGTTCACTTTGTGTCCATCCCACATGAGTTAACTATTTACATCAGCTACTAGGTGGCCAGGAGTGACCGCTTACTTGCCAACTTGTTTAGAATAAGTATAGACATAAATATAAATAGCCACCTCTTGGTGTTCAGGGTTGCCCCCCCGCTTTTCTTCTCAAGCTGCAGCTCTGGGATGTTCACAAACGGCACTTCAGATTGTCCTCGACTGCGTCTGGTGGCCGCAGGATCTACCGATTACTCGACTTGGACGATGACGGAGATTTGGACCTGGCCAGTGAGGTGGATAGCTTTGACTCTTGGAATGGGTGTGTATTCGATCCGGAGACCCCCAGGCCCTCGCCCCGGTCGCTGAAGACGGGTCGATGTTCCGGAACCGAAATGAGGGGGTTCGGAACACCTCGGGGGGGTCTCCCCGCCCGGAGGAGATCGTCCCAGTTCGGTGGGGTATTTTGGTTCCTCCCCTTTGAACTCACAGGAGGAACGCAATTCTAGAATTCACCTACTAATTCACCATTTAATGATTCCAAAGAGCCTCTTCCGGGGCCAACAGCTCCCTTTCGGCGCCAGCTTCGTTGGACAGCTTGAGCGCCAGTTCGCAGTTCGGGGGACTCCAGGGATCCATGGCTCCCACAGCGGTGGAACGTTCAGGACACGAAGAACGCCTTCCAGGGCGCGCCAGCCTTGAGCCTCTTAGCCCGCATGCACGGAGCGGAAGGAAGGGAAAAGAAGGCCAAGGATCAAGGAAGGGGGGCAGATGGGAGATGAATGTTTGAGAAACCGATGTCTAAACATAGGGTAACCTTCCATAAGACCTGGAAGAAGGGAAATATACCAAAGTTAGGCCATGGGGCCCTGGGGCCTCCCTCAAAATGCACACTCCGAGCTAGCTGGACTCTTGGCTTCAACCTTACTCTTTCCTGATGTGCAAGACTGGTCCACACATAGAGCATCATAGAGCCATTTTGGAGCAGTATGATAGCTAGATCCACTTCCTGACTCGTCAACGTCAACACCATTTTCGAGGTGATGGCATTTTGGCTGTTGCGCCGTGCAATGGCCTGCATGTGTTCCTCTCCTGAGCACGTCGACGGCGAGTGGCTGATTCCTCAAGCGTGGAAAATACGAGTTGCTGACGTCCAGTCGATCTGCAAAGAGCTGGAAAGAACATGAAACAATATTGATACAGGAGTATAAAACCTCTTGAGGCACTGGAAAACACTTGATCGACCCCTTGATCATTGTTGATGAGATCTGATGAGGAACTGGAAAACATCCAACAATCACAAGCACTGCAACAGGGAGGTTCCTCAGAACCTCTTTCGATCAAGTTTTAAATCGCTATTGTAATTCCCCAGATAGCGAAGCTATGGGGTTCTTACTTCAAATAACAATGAGTTGCCCGTGCGCGCTTTCGAGACAGGTTGCTGGGTGCCGGTGCTGGTGCTGGTGCTGCGAGCTGGCTGTGCACGTGGTGGAGACAGGTTGCTGGTGCCGGTGCCGAAGGTGGGTGCCGGGTGCCGGTGCTGGTGCTGTGAGCTGGCTGTGCACGTGGTGGAGACGTGCTGGTGCTGGGTGTCGGTGCTGGCGCTGAGTGCTGGTGCCGGTG